ATAATTATGTGAAGTGATAAAGGCATTAATTAACGATACCATGATAATCATATTTCAATATGTCAATGTATCAAATCAACATGTTGTATACCTTAAAACTACACAGTGGTATATGTCAATTATACCTCAATAAAGCTGAAAAAAAACAGAACTACCATATGATCCAGCTTCTGGGTATATATCCAAAGGAGTTAAAATCAGTACCTTGAAGACACATCTGTACTCTCATGCTCATGGTAGCATTATTCACAGTAGCCAAGACATGGAAGGAACCTAAATGTCTACCAATGGACAAATGGATAAAGAAAATGTATATATGTACAATGGAATATTACTGAGCCTTAAAAAAGAAAGAAATTCAGCCGTTTGCAACAACATAGATAAACCCGCAGGACATTATGGTAAGGGAAATAAGCCAGACACAGAAGGGCAAATGCTAACTGACACCATTCATATGAGCAATCTATAATAGTCAGACTCCGAAAAGGAGAGTGCAGAATGGTGGTGGTCAGGGACTGGGGGAAATGCAGAGACACTATTCAAAGGGTACAAAGTTTCAGTCATACAGGATGAGTAAAGCCTAGAGATCTATACAGCATAGTGCCTACAATTAATTATACTGTAGTGTATAATTAAAAATTTGCTAAGAGGGTAGATCTTACGTTAAACATTCTTATCATATACACAAAATAATAAGAGAGAAAGAGAGAGAGAGGAGGGAACTTGTAGAGGTGATGGATAGTTTTATGGCATAAATTGTAGTGATGGGTCCATGGATATATAATTATCTCCAAACTGTATGTATCATGTTGCATACACTAAATATTCACAGCTTTTGGTGTGTCAATCATACCTCAGTAGTTTAAATAATTATCTTAAGACCTAAAAGTAAAAACTAAAACAATAAAGCCTTTAAGAGAAAACATAAGAGACTAGATTCATTGTTTAGATGTAGGCAGTTTCCTTATATAGGAAAAAAATAACCAAAAAAATGATAAATTCGACTTCATGGAAATTAAAAACTTCTGTTCATGAAAAGATACAGTTAAGAAAATGAATAAGCAAAACAAAGACTGCAAGAAAACATTTATAAAACAGGTATCTGACAAAGGACTAGTAGTAACCAAGATAATATAAAAAGCATCTGCCTAGGGGCGCCTGGGTGGCGCCTGGGTGCCTGGGCGCCTGGTTGAGTGTCCAACTGTGGCTCAGGTCATAATCTCGCAGTTTGTGAGTTCGAGGCCTGCAGTGGGCTCTGCGCTGATGGCGCAGAGCCTGCTTCGGATCATTTGTCTCCCTCTCTCTCTGCCCCTCCCCCTCTTCTTCTTTCCCTCTCTCTCTCTCTCAAAAATAAACATTAAAAAAAATCTATCTACAACTCCACAAAAACAATTTTTAAAATGGACAAATACAGTACAACCTTGGGTTGCAAGTAACTTGTTCTGCGAGTGTTCCTCAAAACGAGCAAACATTTCTAATAAATTTTAACTTGATAAATGAGCGATGTCTTGCAATACAACTAGTATGTGACGTCCAATGTCACATGATCAGAACTGAGCCAATGGTTCTTCTCTCTCTCTCTGGCTAGCTTGGTGTGGATTGTGGATGATCATCTCCCATGCTTGGATGCTCAGATGTTCTGTCTTAGGACACAGTGTTCGGCAGAAATCAGTGATTTTTCAGAACGCTGGAAGGAGCCCACAACTGGCACTAGTGTATTTTTTGTCGCTTCAAAGCACCCATGGCCAGTCCTTTGCTTTTCCAGATAAGAGTAAGCTTAGGAATGCTCTGCTTCATTCTAGGTCAGGCTGCCTGCAGATACAGACCCTTTCCTCTGCTGCCTTCCTGTCAATTACATTAACTACAGTCTATGACAAGAGTTTATTAATACTGTACTATAGTCAACATCTGTTAGTAATAGTAAAAGTCATCCTACTCAATAACCCTCCTGTCTCTGGTCTCCCTCACACCAGCCATGAAGGTTTTCAAAGGTAAGTGAAGGTTAACTTCTTTATTTTTCTTTATATTTTGTATTTTATTTATTATTTTGTATTATATTACAGTATTGCAATCATTTTTATATGAATATTTTTGTGTTGTGGAATAAATCATCTGAGTTTTCATTATTTCTTATGGGGAAATGTGCTCTGATATATAAGTGCTTTGGATCACAAGCATGTTTCCAGAACGAATTATGCTCACAAACCAAGGTTTTACTGTATTTTGAAAAGACACTTTATAAAATAAAATACATGAAAGGTAAATATAATTGCAATAAAAAAGTGCTCAGCAAAATTATGCATCAAGGAGACACAAAATAAAAACTACATAACCACAGGATCAACTAAAATTAAAAGAACAATACTGGGGCACCTGGGTGGCTCAGTTTGTTGAGAGTCCAACTCTGGATTTGAGCTCAGGTCATGATCCCAGGGTTGTGGGATCAAGCCCCGCATTGGGCTCAGCACTGAGTATTGAGCCTACTTAAGATTCTCTCCCTCTCTCCCTCTGCCCCCTCCCCCACTCGTGCTCGCTCGCTCTCTAAAAAGAAAAAGACCGCCACCAAATGTCAGCAAGGATGTGGAACAACGGGAACTCTCATGCTCTACATGGGACGAGTACAAAATACTTAAACCACTTTGGGAAAAGCTCTATTAGTTTCTAATAAAACTAATCACATACACGTACCACATTTACCTACTAATCCAAATCTTGGGGATTTCCTCGAGAGAAATGAGAATATATTTCCACACAAAGACTCACTCCAGAGTGTCATTTTCTTCAAAATAGCCAAAAACTGGAAACAGCTCAGGTGTCCATTAATAGGATAACTCATTAATAACTGATAACCAAATTGTGACACCATCACTGAATGGAATACTATCCATCAGTAAAAAGGAACGGACAAGCAATATAAATCAATCTCAAAAATGTAATACTAAGTGAAATAAGCTTTACACAAAAGTACACATTGGAGGACACCATTTATATAAAGTTACAGAATAAGCAACACTATGGCATCACAAAGTAAGAACTGTGTGAGTGGCAGGAATTGACTGGGAAGGAGCATGAGGCAGCCCCCTGGGGTAATGATAATGTTCTAAATCTCGATAGGGGTTTGGGTTCCGTAAGTATATGCATTTGTAAAAAACTGAGCAAATACACATTTAAGATTCCTGCATTCATTTCATGGAAAACTTACATCATCAGAAAAACCTATAAAAATACTGAATTCTAGTTAACGATATGCATGTTGCAAGCTAGGGGATGCAAACAGATGTCTGCAATGTACTTAAAAATACGTTAAAAACAGGGGCATCTGGGTGGCTCAGTCAGTTAGGTGTCCGGCTCTTGATCGGCTCAGGTCATGATCTCATGGTTTGTGAGACTGAGCCCCACGTGGGGCTATGCAGAACCTCTCTCTCTCCCTCCTTCTCTGCCCCTCCCCTCCTCGTGCTCGCTCTCTCTCAAAATAAATAAACATTTAAAAAATGTTAGACATAAGATAGACTGAGGGACAGAGGCATAGATACATGATAAAACAAGTATACTAAAATGTTAAAAAGAGGTGGCTATGAAAGTATTTACCATAGGATTCTTCCAACTTTCCTGTAAGCTTGAAAATGTTCATAATAAAATACTGGGGCAAAGGGAAGAATAATACAACAGAAATCAAAGAAGGAAGAAATAGCAGAGAATGCTAAGGAAGAAACACCAGGAAGGGAAGGAATAGAAAGAACATGAGAAAAGTATTAAACCCCAAAACCAGTGAGAAAAGCAATGCCAGAGAAGGCAATAGTCCATTGTGTAGAATACTTCTGAAAATTCAAGTAGTACTGAAACAGCCCATTGGATTTGGTCATAGGAGGGGTGTGAATGGAGGAGAGTGAAGCCACACTGAAGCGGAGAGAGAGAAAGCTGTTGGTGAGGAAGGAGAGTAAGAAGAAACCGAGCTGGGAAGGAGACCAGGGAGCTGGGGCTGCAGCTGGAGAAGGATGCGAGAAGACCAAGGACAATACTGGTGCGTGTGGATGTGGATGGCAACGACGCAGTAGAGAATCAGGGCACGTAGGAGGTAGAACCGTGTCCCCCAAAACGATATGCTTCAGTCCTAACCCCCAGCACCTGTAAATGTGACCTTATAGGACCTTTGTGGATGTGATTTAATTAAAATGAGGTTATGCTAAATTAGAGAAGGCCCTAATTCAAGGACTGGTGTCCCTATAAGAAGAGGACACAGTAAGAGGAGGAATTTGGACACAGATCCAGAGAGAACGCCATGTGGCAGTGGAAACAGATATTGGAGTGATACATCTAGAAGCCAAGGAATGCCCAGGATTGCCAGCAACTACCAGAAGCTGGGAAGCAAGAAGGATTCTCCCCTAGAGCCTGCAGATACAGCATGGCCCTGCTGACACCTGGACTTCAGACTTCGAGCCTCCAGAGTTGTGAGAAGCGATTTCTGTGACTTTAAGCCACTGAGTTTGTAGTACTTCGTTACGACGGTGCTGGGAAACTAACACAGGAGAGATGAAGGGAAAAGAGCAAGCGGTGATAAGGACAGGGATCATGTCCTTGAGAAGGTGCCATGGAACCACTTCCAAAGTGCTCAGGGGAGGGGTTGGGCCTTTGATAGTTATCAGGGCCACCCTCTTCGGCCTAAAGAAGTATAGAATCATTCAGGGAGGATCTAAACGATCAAGGGTTTATCCAGAAGCTTTGGACAGAGAAGAATGCTTCAGACAGCCTTTGTAATAGATTTTCTGTCCGCTTAACAAACACACGATATGCAGCCTGCACATTCAAGTGACTAGTCTTCCTCTAAACATACGAGAATCAACCCATGAAACTTAAGTGCAGCGATTCTCTGCCTTCCAAAAGAAGTTTGAGAACAAAGATGAAAGTCTTACCAACAGGAACAGAAGCCAGTGCGCGGCCAAGGGGCGAAACAAAACCACCACACAGAAAGCTTGGTGATCCACATTCGGGAAGCCCCTTACCTTGAGCTGCTGCTGGAGTTCACTGTTCAACCGGGCCAGCACCGCGTTTGCCTCTTTATTTTTGCGGATAGCAGTTTGAATAGCCTTCTTCTGTTTGGAAGACTGTCTATAAAAAAGCATAAACAGTTCAGTGAACTAGAACCCAGAGGTCCAGACCCTTGTGGGTCCAAACACTCGGATTCATGGGAAGTGCTAAACGAACAAGGGACCAATGTCACAGGGCTCCAAAAATAAAATCATACATTCACAGACAGGCAGCAGGCAGGTGCACACCAAATGAAACAAATTTGTCGGGATCAATTATTTACACCTGAAGTAATTCCCATTTTATAACTTGAAGAAAAGCCGTGAATTGGACCTTTTCAAACCTTGCATTCCATTTATTCCCAGACAATTTAATAAGTATTTCTTCCTGACAAACCACATTAACTAGAATGCCCTTTTTGTGTAAGCATTAATGGCATTTAAAAGACCTGCAGGTGGCCCCTGTGGACAAGTATGAAGGAAATGAATAGAAGAACATTCTCTTTAGCAAAAATCCTACATTAACTTAGCCAGCCTGTATAACTCTCCTTCATTTCTTCATTGTTAGGCATAAACGCTTGAGTGTATGTGAGTATGCTCACATGTGTGCGTTCACCAGCACACATCTGTGGCACGGAGGAAAACAGAAATGTTTTAATACCAGTATCCCCAAATTAAGTCAATAGTAAATTCACAGAGCAGGTATAACTAGGGTGACCACATGTTCCACTTTGCCCATTACAGTCTCTGCTTACACTGCTTGCCTGGCCCTAATTATTCTCAGAACCCTCTTTCTCTTTCAAAGCTGTCTACAGTTGGGATGATAAATCAACGTGACTGCATAACCTATAGCCCTATATCCCACTGCAAAAAACACTGAATTCTCAGAGGAAAAAAAAAACCCAGACATATTTGTAATCAGTGAGAGGTGAGTTCTAGGTGAGAGCAACTCAGCCAGAGTTGCTGGCTGTGGAGACAGCGACCACTGTGGAGATCTGATTAATATTCGCTGAGAATGTACACTATGGTACCCACTCTGCTACCATCTGCAGAAGGCATACTCCCTTCCCCAACAAGTTTAAAGATGAATTTTTTTCCATCCATAAATAGGCATGGAAGAGGCTTTAAAAAAAATTTTTTTTTTTTAACGTTTATTTATTTTTTTGGGACAGAGAGAGACAGAGCATGAACGGGGGAGGGGCAGAGAGAGAGGGAGACACAGAATCGGAAACAGGCTCCAGGCTCCGAGCCATCAGCCCAGAGCCCGACGCGGGGCTCAAACTCACGGACCGTGAGATCGCGACCTGGCTGAAGTCGGACGCTTAACCGACTGCGCCACCCAGGCGCCCCTGGAAGAGGCTTTAAAATCTACGTTTAGAAAGATAAGGATTGACCTTCCGGTTTCAGGACAACATAGAGTAGACACACTTCTCTCTACCCACCAAGTACAGTTAAAATCCTGGACATGATATATAAAACAAACATAAGATTACTTGAAAAAGGGGCACCTGGGTGGCTCAGTCAGTTAACCGTCTGACTCTTGATTTTGGCTCAGGTCATGATCTCACAGTTGTGAGATTGAACCCCACGTTGGGCTCTGCACTGACCACGCAGAGCCTACTTGGGATTCTCTCTCTCTCCCTCTCCCTCTGCCCCTCTTTCTCTCTCCCTCTCTTTCTACTCCTCCCTCTCCCCTCCCCCTCCCCTCCCCCTCTCCCTCAAAATAAATAAACTTAAAAAAAAAAAAAAAAGGTTACTCCAAAAAGTGAAGAAGGCAAACCAGCTAGGGAACTTGGTACCCAGGGAAATACATAGCAGTGAATTCCCTGAGTTTTCTTTTTTGCTTCATATATTCCAGACTAGATAGTGGAGAAGTCAGAAATCCATAAACGCCAATAAGGGCAGACATAAAAAAGCACCTTCCACCAAGCCCAAACGCTGCTCTCTCTAGTGAAATGACTTGGAAGGGGGCAGCCTAGCAAGACATAAATTAGGCAAAGTATCTCTCCTGGAGATAGATGCAAAATCTTTTAATAAAATATTAACAAATTGAATTTATCAATATATTTAAATACTATACGCCATGACCAAGAGAGTTTTATTCCAGAGATGCAAGACTGATTTAATATTCAAAAGTCAATCAGTATAATCCACCATCCTGACAGTTGAAAGAAAAAACTCACATAATTGTATCAACCGATATAGGAAAAGCACCGGTTAAAACTCAATACCCATTTCATGATAAAAACTCTCAGAAAACTGTGAATAGAGGCCAAACTGCTCAACTTGATGAAGAATTTCTACAAAAAAAGCCACAGCTAACATCATACATAATGAAAAACTGAATGCTTTCCCCCTAAGATGAAGAACAAAGCAAGGATTTCTACTCTCATTATTATTTTCAACACAGTGCTAGAAGTCCTAGCTAGCACAATAATTCAAGAAAAAGAAATAAAAGGCACACATATTGGAAAGAATGAAACTGTCACTATCTGCCGATGACATGATGACCTATATAGAAAATTCCACGGAATCTATAAAAAAAAATTCTCAGAACTATTATTTCAGCAAGAATAGAAGTGAGTTTGGAGGACAGAAGATTAACATACAAAAATCAATAGAGTTTTGATACAGTAACAATGAATACTTGGGGGAAAATACAGTATCACTTACAAAGATTCAAACAGAAATTCTTAGATATATCAAAACAGATACAAGATTTACATACTGACTTTATTCCACTGGATATTTTTTCCTGCTTTGTCAAAGTCTAGTTGGCCATATGTTTGTGGGTCCATTTCTGGGTTCTCTATTCTGTTCCATTGATCCGAGTATCTGTTTTTGTGCCATTACCATACTGTCTTGATGTTTACAGCTTTGGAATACAGCTTGAAGTCCGGGATTGTGATGTCTCCTGCTTTGGTTTTCTTTTTCAAGATTGCTTTGGCTAGTCTGGGTCTTTTCTGGTTCCATACAGATTTTAGGATTGTTTGTTCTAGCTCTGTGAAGAGTGCTGGTGTTATTTTGATAAGTATTGCATTGAATATGTAGATTGCTTTGGGTAGTATTAACATTTTAACAATATTTGTTCTTCCTATCCAGGAGCATGGATCTTGCCATTCGCAACTACGTGGATGGAACTAGAGGGTATTATTGCTAAGCAAAATTGGTCACAGAAAGACAAATATCATAGGACTTCACTCATATGAGGACTTCAAGATACAAAACAGATGAACATAAGGGAAGGGAAGCAAAAATCATATAAAAACAGGGAGGGGGACAAAACCTAAGAGACTCTTATGTCCAACCAAACATGGAGAACAAACAGAGGGTTATTGGAGGGGTTGTGGGAGGGGGGATGGGCTAAAATGGGTAAGGGGCATTAAGAAATATACTCCTGAAATCATTATGGGTCTATCTGCTAACTTGGATGTAAATTAGATAAATAAATAAAATGGTAAAAAAAAAAAGATTTACATGCTGAAAACTATGCAACACTAATGAAAAATTAGAATCAAAATAAATAGAGAAATATTTATCATGTTCATGGATTGGATGACTCAACATAGTAAAGATACCAACTCTCCCCAGGTTGATACAAAGGTTAACATAATTCCTACTGAAATCTCAGCAAGATTTTTGTAGATCAATACAAAATTACTCTAAAACTTACATGGAAGGTCAGAGGAATCAGAATAGCTAAAACAATTCTAAAAGATCCTAATAAAGTGGGAGAAATAGACATTTTATTATAGAGCTATAGTAATCAAGTAAATAAGTAATGAAGACAGGAATCAGTACTGTGTGGTATTGGCAAGAGGAAAAGACACATAGATCAGCCAAACAGAACAGAGAACCCAGAAACAGATTCACATTGGTACAACTTAGTTTTGATAGATGTGCAAATGTAAGTCAATGGAGCAAGAATAGTCTTTTCAACCAACAGGGCTGAAGCAGTTCAACATCCACAAGCCAAAAAAAAAAGGGAAAAGAACCCTGACCTAATGGATCCAGCAAGTTAAATGTAAAGTGTAAAATTACAAAACTTTTAGAAGAAAAGACACGAGAAAATCTTTAGGACCTAGGGCTTGGTGAAGAGTTTTAGATGCGACAAAAAAAGCACGATCCATACAAGAAAAAAAAATCAGTAAGCTGGACTTCTTCGAAATTTTAAGAGCTTTCACACTACAAAAGACTGTTAAAGAGGATGAAATGACAAGCTACAGACTGAGAGAAAATATATTCAAAACACATATCTGGCCATTTATATGTATTTAAAACACAAAAGGAACTCTCAAATCTCAACAACAAAAAACAATTCAATTAGAAAACGGGCAAAGGACTTCAAGAGACGTTACCAAAGAGGATATATGATGGCAAATACACACATGAAAAGACGCTCGACATCACTAGCCATTAGGGAAATGCAAATTAAGACCACAATAGGATAGAACTACACACCTATTTGAACAGCTAAAGTAAAAAAAATAGTGACAATACCAAATGCTGGTGAGGATGTGGACACACTGCACCTGCTATACATTGCCGGTGGAAATGTAAAATGGTAGAGCCATTTTGGAAAACGGCGTGGCAGGTTCTTTAAAAACTAGACATATAGTCAACACACAACCCAGCAGTCACATTCTTGGACATTTATACCAGAGAAATCAAAAGTTATGTACACATGAGAACCTGTACACAAGATGCTCATAGTAGCTTTATTTACAATTCTGAACAACTAGACACAACCAAAACGTCTCTCGACAGGCAAATGGCTCAACAGACTGTAGTACATCCATACCACAGAATACAGCTTAGCAGTGTGGACTGAGATACATAACTTGGATGTCAAGGGACTGTGCCAAGTGAAAAAAAGCCAAACTCACAAGGTCACATGCTGTGCGATTCTATTTATATAATATTCTCAAAATGATAAAACTATAGATAGGGGAAACAGATCAATCGTTGCCAGGGGTAAGGAATGGTGAGGAGGACGGGGTAGGTCTGACTTCTGTACCTTGATTACAGTGGTGGTTACAAGATTCTACACATGGGATTAAATGACACAGAACTACACATACA